AGGTGTAGCCAACCCTCTGCCCGGAATAAGACTGTTGGGCTACTTCAATGTCTGCACTAGCTCAGCTACCTGCTGCTCGAGCCCGGATCTGGTCTCCATGGCGTGCACACCACGGTCCCTGGAATGTCTGCCTCTGCTGCTCTGCCCCCAGGAATGATCTCTGGCAGCCAATGTATTAATCATCTGGTTCAGCTCGGGTGGAGTCTTAGTGAGAACATCCCCTCCTGGGCATAGAGACTCAATCACCCTCTGGCTGTCTGGAGAGAGAGCACTGTAGAAATTCCCCACTGTGAATGCATCACTAAAGCCATGGTGGGGACACTGCCAGAAATATCCCATGTACCGCTCCCATGCATCACGAAGTGACTCATCTGGCTCCTGGCGGAAGTGAGTGATCTCCCGCTGAATCTCTGTAGTCTTCGATGCCGGATAGTACCTGTGCACGAATTTGTCAGCCAGATCGTCCCAAGAGGTGATGGACAATGGGGGCTGGGTCTCCAACCACCTCTTAGCATTCCCCGCCAGAGAATGGGGGAAAAGATGAAGGCGGATTGCATCATCCGGGACACCATTCAGCTTGAACCCGTTCGTCAGCTGCAGAAAACGGGAGAGATGTACCCTGGCCTCCTCATCCTTCAAGCCATGGAACTGGATGGAAGATGTAATGAGCTGAATCCAGCATGGCTTGATCTCGAAGTTGTTTGCTGGGATAGACGGGTAGAGGATGACCGGGCGTATGTCAGCAATCCGCGGAGTGTAGTAGTACTCCAAGGTGGGACCCGGCTGCGGTGGATGATGAACTCCATGATCCTGGGGTATGGGGTTGTTCCCCAGGACCTGATTCACCGGGGGAGCCTGCTGAGGATTCCCCTGGTGTTGATTGTAGTCTTCCATCTCGTACTCCTCCTCAGAATCACTGCTCACGTGGCCGTCAATGCGCTCTTCCGTAGCCAGTCTAGCTCGCTGTTGTCTCCTGAGTTGGCGACAGGTGCATTCAATCTCTGGATTCAACGGCAGTAGATCTCCCGACTGGCTATGGGTCATGCACTACCTGCACACAATCAAGCAAGCAAACCCGTGAAGGCACAAGTGGGAAAAAACGAACAAAGCAAAAAGAAAGGCTAAATTAACAGAAATCACTTTTCTTCAACAACCTAGCCGTCCCCGGCAACGGCGGAAAAAACTTGACTCGACTCTACTATCACCCTAGGAATTGGCCAAGTGAAACCACTTCCTAAAGCGTAGTATAGCGGGTTAGGTTTATATGTCAACCCGGGTCCTAGATTTGATGACTACTCAGTGAATTCGTGTTATCTAGCAATGAAACTGGAATGCAAATCTAAACTATCAAACTAACAAAGCAAGTAAACGGTTGTATTCAGGTTAAAGAGGTCACCCGGATATGGTTCCCCCTAGACTGCAGTTAAGCCGGATTGTAATTACCAAGTTCAGTTTCTATGAAAGTTATACTGCGGAAGGTTCTTAAATAGCCTGAAGTCTCGACTAAAGGTCTTCAGACCCTCTCAATCTGAATCTATAGCGGGCGACTAACCTCCACCGGAGTAGACAGATTGAGGCCCTAAGAACAAAACCTCCACTACCGGAGTAAATCCGGTACAGAATAGTGAGTTGGTTCCTCGACTAAAGTCACCAGCTCCCTACCTTCAATCAAGGATACTCTATTAACCTAGGCAGATATTCTCATTCTAGGTCAAAGCAGAAAGAACAGGAATTTGATCATGATTCAAGTCATTCAATCATTCAAACCTCAATCGAATATAATCAATCATAGAATCAGTACTTGGGTTCATACAATCAAAGCCTAACATACAAATCTAGGGTTCTCCATACCCAGATGAATGGGAGAACTACTCCATGGAGAAGAAAGCAAAAGCAGAATCAGACGCGGAATTCATACTGTGAAGGATGGATTCCTGCTCCTGGACGTTGATTGGCACTCCTCCAAGCTCAAGCTGGCCTCCAATGGTGTTGAAGATCAATCTAGGGCACTTGGAGACTCTTGTTCGTCGCTTTCTCTCTCTAGGAATCATTTTCTCTCTCCAAAACTCAAATCCCCTTCTCTTTGGCTGAAAATCTGCTTAAAAAGGCATCAGTGGCCAAAGCACGGTCGAGGACACGGCCGTGTAATGCCTTAGGTGTGCCCGTGTTTTGGCCCCAGCTTGATGAAATGACCTCCGAATGCCCCGAAACTCGTGGTTAGCCTTCCCTTTGACGCCTGGGACCTGAAATATGACAAAATAGCACAACCCGGCGTAAAATAGGCCAAAACACACGACTATGCCCCTCAAACGGATAAGAACTAGGGGCGCAAACATGTGCAATTACATCGTTATCAATGCTAACCCGTCTATTGAGAGATGAAGGGAGAACACTCTCTCCCATGAGAAAAATGTCACAGGCTCTGAGGATCAAAGTCTTCAACTTGCACAACTTTCATATATTCCCTGGAATTCGGAGCTCAACTTCAGAATGTTCAAATTGCAGTTCCTCCAAGTAGACACATGAACACTGCCATACCTCTTTGTTTCTTAAGATGTCTAGAGCACTCTCGTTGGACTATATTCTGCTGCGCTTGTTTATCCAAGTCGAATAATTAGCTTTGCCTAAATCTATGATATGATCATTGTTAAATTTGATCAAGGACCTAAGAACAAGAGCCTCAACCCTCTAGTTATTTGTTACTGATAGAGATTAATAATAATAATAATTTTATTATTTGTAATTAGTCATCCGGTTATGTATATAAACCCAATTCCGTTTCAATTAATAATCAAGTCATTATTCCCACATGGTATCAGAGCACGTCTGATCCCTTAACCCTAAAATTCTAAATCGTAACTTTCGTTTCCTTTCTTCTTCTTCGTCGGCTTTGTCTCAATCATGGCCGGCGAGGATTCCTCAAGTGGTACTAATGAAACGCGGCTGCCGCTCAACACTCTGCCCACTCACGTCATCACTCTGAATCCTGCTTCTCAATTCCCTACCAAACTCACTGCTGAAAACTTTCCCATATGGCGTGCTCAAGCTCTCACCTTGTCTAGAGGGCTTGATCTGCTCAAGTTCTTGGATGGAACTCATCCATGCCCTGCCGAAACCGGCCCTGCATTCAACGCCTGGTACCACCAGGATCAACTCCTTCTCCACGCTCTGTTTGCTTTAACCACTGCTGAGGTCGCTCCATACATCTTGGCAGCAACGACATCTCGCGAGGCCTGGGTTACTCTTCAGCGCCTCTTCACCAATACATCCCGCAATCGGCAAATCAATCTGATGACCAAACTCACCAGAGAAGTTCAAGGTAACCGTCCCGTTGCGTCCTATATTCAAACTATGCGCACCACGGCTGTTGAATTGGCCCTTATTCAAGCCCCAGTCTCTGAGCAAGACCTCCTTGTTAACATTCTCCGTGGTCTCAATGCTGAGTTCGATCAGCTGGCTGCTGCGCTGCGTGCTCGCGATACGCCCATTGCCTTGGAATACCTTCGTGATAAGCTTGTTGAATTTGAGACCGATCTTCATGATTGATCATCTCTTCGTGATCAGCAATATCCCACCACTGCCTTCTTCACCAACCAGCAGCGCCCTAGTCCCTCTCAAGGACGTCGTCCCAACTCCACCGGTCCCTCCCGCGGCCCGTTGCTGCCCTCTCCACTACTTCAGCCGATGTCACAGCACATGTCATTGGGACAGCAGCAAGCGCCACGTGCTCGTCCACCACACTCTTCTCCTGGCTTCTATTCCTCACCAACCCATCCTGCTAGCAATTCTCGTCGGCCTCGCCTCATCTTCCAGTACTAAGAGAAGCCTGGGCATTCTGCTCGTGAGTGCTATAGCCTTCATGGCCGTCCCCAGCGAGTGCATCATACTGCGACTGCGCCTTCTACCGGGACTTCCTCGGCTTCTCCCTGGCTCATGGACTCTGCAGCAACAAGCCACGTAACACCCGATCTTGGTAATCTTTCCCTCTACTCCGATTACTGTGGACCGGATGAAGTGATTGTCGGTGATGGGGCAGGTTTGCATATTTCTCATATTGGACACTCCACTGTTGGCTCCCTTTGTTTAAAAGATTTTTTTGTGTGCCTGCCATCAAACAGAGGTTGGTTTCCGTTGCTAAGTTGTGCAAGACTAACCTGGTTTCAGTTGAATTTTTCCGTGACTACTTTATTGTGAAGGATCTCACCATGGGGGCGCCACTCTTGCGGGGCCAAAATAAGGGGGATGTCTACGAGCTGCCGCATGATTCTACTCTTGTTCGTCTAGCTCTCCACACCACTCAGCCTTCCTCTTCCGTGTGGCACAATCGTTTGGGTCATCCCCACTCTCAGCTGCTCGCTCGTCTGCTTCGTAGTAGTCATCTTCCCGTTAGTAGTCCGTTGTCTAGTTCTTCGTGTGATTCCTATTTAGTCAATAAAAGTCACAAACTCCCATTTTCAGTCTCCAGTTTGACGAGTTCGTCCCTTTGATCTCTTGTACTGTGATGTTTGGGGTCAAACTCCCATTGTTTCCAATGCTAACTATTCTTATTACTTGGTTATTGTGGATCATTTTACTCGTTATACGTGGTTGTATCCTCTTCGTTTTAAATCCGATGTGCTGTCCATTTTCACTTCTTTTTGTCGCTTGGTACAAAATTATTTCAGCACCAAAATTCGCCGTGTTTACTCTGATGGTGGGGGGGGGGGGGGGGGGGGGGAGGGGAATTTCGGAAACTGGCTTCTCTTTTCTCCACTGAAGGCATAACTCACCTCTTCACATCCCCTCACACTCATCAACATAACGGCTTCGCCGAACGCAAACATCGGCATGTCGTTGAAACCGATCTTTCTCTTCTCCACTTTGCCTCTCTACCACTCGAGTTTTGGTCTCATGCCTTTCAGACTACAGTCTACCTTATCAACCGTCTCCCGTCCACTACTCTCCATGGCTCCACTCCCTATTTCTCCTTGTTTAATGAGGCCCCGAACTATCTTAAACTACGCACCTTTGACTGTTTATGTTATCCATGGTTACGCCCCTACAGTTCTCACAAACTTGCTCCTCGTTCTCGGCGTTGCTTGTTCTTGGGTTACTCTCCTAACCAGAGTGCTTATAAGTGCTATGATCCAGTTTCCCAACGTCTGTTCATCTCTCGCCATGTTCATTTTGTCGTGTCCTCTCTCCCGGGACTTCCGTCTTTGTCTGAGTCTCCCTCCTTCGACTCGGCTGCTTGGCTTGCCTCCACCGAGCCTCCACTTCGCCTCCTTCCTCTTTCTTCCTCCTTGTCGCCATCCGTCCCATCATTCGGCACATCCTCCTCATTGGGCCCCTCTACTCCCCGCACTCCCCCATCGGCGCCCTCAGGGGAAGACACCTCACAACAGGCCGCACCTGTTATTCCTCCGCCTGCACCTACTCGCACTATGACCACCCGAGGTATGAATGGCATTCACAAACCCAAGAGACTGTTCTCCATCACGGTCGCAGCTTTCGACGTAATCCCAACTACGGTAAAACAGGCACTTGCAGACCCTCGATGGGTGGCTGCCATGATTGAGGAATTTCAGGCTCTTCGTGCTAATGGGAGTTGGGAGTTAGTACCTCGCTCCCCTGGTAAGAATGTTGTGGGTTGTTGCTAGATTTTTCGTATTAAACCACCACACAAGAAGAAGCTTCAGATCGATCGAGCAGCCGGCGATGGAAATTGATGGGAGAGACTTCTGTCTTCAAAGCTCTCCAGCCGAGTCCAAGCCAAGGGATACATCTCCTAAACACTATGATCTGCAAGGTGAAGCAAGGAGGTAGACAAGGGGAAGGAAGAGGAGAAAACAAGAAAATCTTAGAAAGATTAGCCTCCTTTGCATCTTAGATCGTATTCATCTCTAGATCTGAACAATCGGACCAGAGGCCAAAAACTCAACCCACTGAGGGGGAGGGGATCAACCACACACAAGGGAAAACAAAGCCAATCAATAGCATGATCTGACAAAAAAAGGAAAATGGAACTAGACTATGACAGAAAACAAGAGAACAGAGGAGATGGAGAAGGAAAATAGAGAAAAATCGAAAGAAAGAAGGTGCAGAGTGCTGTCGCTGGCTTCCGGAGGAGCGCCGGCAGCAGCCCTTATGGAAGGCCTGGAGATTTTACTTCAAGTAAGAGTACAAAGTAAAAAGAAAGAGGGAGATACAGTATATTCTTGTGGTGGATTGACAAAGAGGGAGATTTTACTTCAATGTTGGATGAATGTTTTTACTTCAATGTTGGATGAATGTTTTTCTTTTACCAATGTAAGTGATCAAAAAACTTGAGTTTAGATACAGTATATTCTTGTGGTGGATTGACAAAGAATCTAGGAGAACAAGAGTTGTTGACTGGGATCAAGTAGCCATGTCAAACAGGAAGATGTGTTAGGTATGAAATGTTTGAGAACTTGGAATGTAGCTTTTTCAGCCAGGCATATATGTGGGATCTCTTCACTAAAGGAGGCAATTGGTGGGTAAGTTGGATATAGACATGTCGTATTAAAGAGACTTCTTTCTGGGAACTAATAATAAGAACTAAAGAGCTTAGGGATTTGGAGGAAGTTATTGATGACCAACGATAAGATTGAGAACTTAATTCACTATTTTGGGGGACCGCCAAATTTCCAATCTTAGGTTGTTATGGTGTAATTTGGTTTGGTCTCAATATCCATCCCCAGGTACAATTTTATAAGTTGGTTAGTTACCCAATACAAAATTGTTACTAGGGATAAATTGTAGACATGAGGCAAGGCTAATACATATGTGTGTCTATTATGTGGAGCATCTCAGGAAAACAGGGAGCATATTTTTTTTCAAATGTAAATATGCATTTTAGGTATTGTTTGATAATATGGACTCTGAATACAACAAGTATGCGCTCCCTTTGTGGATTTTGAAGCTTACTTAAGATGGGCAATTAGGATGTTTTCAGGGAAGAAACCCCTAGCTAAGATTTTTACCTGGCTATATATTGTGTTAGAGTGTGTTGGTAGTTAGTTCAGGTTTTTGAAAGTGATAGATTTATGCTATGTTGTACTAGAAGATTTCTTGTATGTTGTGTTTTGTATTGGAGCTCACCTGAGTTTCACTGAGTTTAGTAAAATATTCTCATAGCCCATAGAATATAAAAGAAAATTTTAAGTAAATCATATATATTTATATGGTTGATTTTCCAATATGAATCCCAAAATTTTATAGTGCCACACACCCGCACACTACCAAGTGGTAACTTCCTCCTCGATTCTTTTCTCTCCCTCTCCTTCTCGCATTCCCCCACTCCCTCTCTCCATTAGTACGAATACATACAAGCATGTCTCACTACTTCGAGTTTGAAGTTAATACTCAAGATGATAATTCTTCTATGGTTGGAATGGAATTATTATTTTCAAGGAGAAGTAATTAAATTTCACTTCTTTACCAACAACATTTTCCCTTTTCCCTTTTTTCTTATTTATTATAAAGCTGTATATCAGCATTTCAAAATAATTTATTAAATTTTGGGGTCACTTGCAAAAAGATAGATAATCAAACTTGCAATTTTGAATTTATTGCAATCTTATATTAAGAAAAAAAGTAATGTAAAACGGAGAAGCGTTATGGCCTCATTCCTCAACCTCTTTCTTCAAGGGATCAGATATAGTGATATTTTCTTTGGGTTGTCATTTTCACAACCACCTCCGCATAAAAATTTATTTTGGATATTTAATATTTTTGTACTAATTGAATTATTTTTTTAATATAAATCTTACGTTAAATACATTTCTCGTAACATATTCCTCTGCCACGTACACAGTCAAGCGCTTAAGAGATGTTAACTCCTCTTCAATTGGCTTGGGAAACCATACATGATGCTGTTTGTGGCAGAATTGACTAATTATTTAGGAAACAAAGAAACATTATTCGTTATTTCTCCAAAAAAAGGACGCATTAGCATGATAACTATGAGTTGTAATATTATAATCATAGTTGTTGTTGTTATTGATTTTTGAAGTTGTGTAACTCTAAATACTTACACGGGAGATGGACAAAGTGAGGGCCTCCAAGTTGGCATACTTGTTAGGAGGAAGGAAAAGAGAAGCTGGACTCTGTGTCGCCAAGTCCAATTCCACAACACATGAAGAGAAATTCCTAATGCGAAGACCGACTTCGGAACTATGATATCTCAAGTACGTCAGATTAGGTGCAAGGATTTCAATGTCAATCACGAAGAAACACCAAGTGAACTCCAAGGGCTTCAGCCTCTACAGTGGCGATGATCCAGTCAGTGTTGGATTGAAAGATTTCAATCAAAACAAGTCACGAGATTGCTTGGTCTAAATTGGAGAAATCAAAGGGAATTGGAGCCGCAATCAAGTGGGAGCTGCTTGACGAAATCACAAACCTTCCATGACTGGAATGGTTCGAATGTCAACAGTCCAACGGCTACTTCCTTGAAGCCTATTTAAAGGAAGATCAAAGCCTGTTTCTATTACTGGTTCTGGGATTCTTTGTGGAATAGGGCAAAGGGTTTGGGAATTGACAGTGGCTTTGATCGATACTGAGGAATAGGTTCAGTTGATCAAAGGTGTAAGTGAATTCCTGTGTGAATTCAGTCCTTGTCACCATAGCTTTTGATTTTCACATTAGAGTCTGTAATCGAGTCCTTTTGCCGTCTTTTCTCAAATCAAGAAAATCAAAAGTGTCTCTCGGAATAGTGTCTACTATTCCGGGACGAGGGGTAACCCTGTGGCGAACCTCGCAATCAAGGGGGAGCTGCTTGACGAAATCACAAACCTTCCATGACTGGAATGGTTCGAATGTCAACAGTCCAACGGCTACTTCCTTGAAGCCTATTTAAAGGAAGATCAAAGCCTGTTTCTATTACTGGTTCTGGGATTCTTTGTGGAATAGGGCAAAGGGTTTGGGAATTGACAGTGGCTTTGATCGATACTGAGGAATAGGTTCAGTTGATCAAAGGTGTAAGTGAATTCCTGTGTGAATTCGGTCCTTGTCACCATAGCTTTTGATTTTCACATTAGAGTCTGTAATCGAGTCCTTTTGCCGTCTTTTCTCAAATCAAGAAAATCAAAAGTGTCTCTCGGAATAGTGTCTACTATTCCGGGACGAGGGGTAACCCTGTGGCGAACCTCGTTCAAAATTCTGCTGTGTTCTTTACTTTCTGCTTTTGTTCTTCGATCTTTTCCAGCTTCCCCTGTTTCTCGGCACTCTGTTTCTGGTCTGTCGGGCTCAACGAAGAAGAAGAACAATCTTCTTTCTTCTGTGCTGGGTTAAGCCTTGGGCCGGTGTTGAAGGCAAGTCCAGTTTAAATCAGTGGGCTTTGCTTGACACAGCCCAACCGGAACTTGCTCATTCTGTTGAGTTTATTTTGGTTCGGTTTATTTAGGTTTTGTTTATTCTTCGACCGTTGAAAGTCAAAATCCCTAAGTGTTCTCTTCCCATTTCCATTTCGCGAAACCATCTCTTTTCTACAGTCAGCTTGAAGCATATCATCTCCCCCGAATCTAAGACAACTAACTTTTCGAAGCATATCACCTCTTGGAGAGGGTTGAGGACTTGGCTGCTTCTTTTAGTGTCAGACGGGCCAGAATCTTCTCAACGAGGATCTTGACTCCAATGGGCAAATCGCTAATGCGATCTGCGGAGCAGGGCCGAAGCACATCTTCCAACTGATTCGATTCGGTTTCAACAGGAGATACAACAAAAAATCTGCCTAGCTAGAGATGGATCAACGAATAGAATGACTCCAATGGAAGAAAGAACGTTACTTGATTCTTTCCGCCACACATTCTATTGTTGGATGATTGCATAATCGTTTGTTCAAACCTGTAAAGCAGTATATATACATGTCAATTAAACGACCCCAAACAAGCAAACAAGAATTCCATAGTTGAGCACTAAACTACCGCAAACAATGCCACAGGCTGCATTGATCAAATTCGCAGGACTGAAAAATTAGCTTCCTTACCTTACCTCTCGTTCACCTTGTGGGTGTAGTTAGTAGGTTTAATGATTAAAGGTTGCTACGCAGAGCTTATTTTCATAGTTTGGCCCAAATTAAATGGGTTTTCATATTTTCCGTATATAGCCCATCGAAACGTGCATTTACCTTGACCACTAATTATTCATTCTTCTGGCAGCCGTGAGTCATGAAATGCACAAGTTTTAAAAACTAACTAATAAAGATAGCATGATCAAACCCGGCCCATATACATGTATTAGGCAGCACCTTCTGTTTCGTAATTAGAAGTAGCTGATGATACTTTGTTTTTCTTTTGCTTTAGATTTTCAGGTTATTAAGATGTGGATTGAGCTAGCTTTGGGTTGGATCATGAGTTTTAATACGAGAGATTTGTTCCCTAATCTATCAATTAACAACACATAAAATATTATTTAAGCTAATTAATTTGTTTGGTTAGATATGAGAGATTTGTAGTTCAATTGTGTATAAAGACCCATTTATCTTTTTTCTTTCTCCTCCTATCTATTTATTTCTTCCCGATTAACAAACGAAAAGCTCATTAAAAAACTGCTAAATTACATGTTTGGTCACTCAAATTGTACAAATATTTCACGTTTGCCACCCGAATTACTTTTATTTTTTATTCGCCACTAACTTTACGAATCGTTCACCGTTAGTCACCGGCCGTTACACTCCCTTAAATTTGTCCTACGTGGCAGTCAACTATTAAGTTTAACCGTTAACTTGATGACGTGGAAATAAAAAAAAAATAAAAAGTTATTTTTTTAGCTCATTATCCCACATACTTTATCTAAAGACTTTTCATATTAATTATTTAATAAAAAAAAATTAAATTACAAAATCCACTTACCATCCCAACCTTCTTCAATTCGCCTCTGCGGAACCTCCACAAGACCCCAACCATCCCTTGCTATCCCAAAAAATGGGAAATACTTGGCTAGAATATAGGTAGTAGCCGGCTTCTGCTAGCCGACTGATCGCGATTTGGTCCTTGCCCTGGAGATCTTGCACTCGAGGCCATCGGAGATGCCCAAACCTCCCGTAGGCGCCTTAAAGATCCCTCTCTCGCAGATTCTCGACTCCGATGAGTCCCGAATGGCAATCCGAGCTTTCGAGCTTCCCCGACCATGTCCACAAGGAAAGGTTCGCCTAAAGCTCGCCTGGAAAGAACGCCCCATTCCCAACCTCCTCCCAGTGGATGGACGTCGGTGGATGTTTAGCGACGACAGAACTGATTCCTTCTTAAATTAGATTCTTAAAAATCGTTGAGACTTCTATCCGACTTCAGCAGCGGAGGGACTCGTTTATTTTACTAGCTACTAGCACTACCCTATAAAACGAAAATTAAATGGGTTCTTTGGACTGTGAAAATAAAAAGAAAATGGACCAATGAGGACATGGCTTCGAGATGGGGACGGTAGAGGCTATGGCTTCAAGATGCGGCGGAGGATTCGACAGAGAGGAGTTGCCGCCGGGTGAGGAGGATGGCGACGAGGTGAGAGGAGAGGTGTACATGATGCCAATGACGGCGGTGGCGAAAGTTGGAATGGGGAGAGAGAGAGAGAGAGAGTTGTGCGGGTCAAAATATATTTTAATAATTTAATTATTTTTATTAAATAATTAATATGAAAAGTCCTTAGATAAAGTATTTGGGATAATGAGGTGGAAAATAAAATTTCTTTTTTTTTTCATGTCATCATGTTAATGGTCAAATTTAATAGTTGACTTCCAAATAAGACAAATTTAACGGTGTGTAACAGCTGGTGACTAACGGTGAAAATGATTCATAAAGTTAGTGGCGAATAAGAAAGAAAAGTAATTCGGGTGGCAAACATGAAAGATTTGTACAATTTGAGTGACCAAACATGTAATTTAGCCTTAAAAAACCCACAACAGTTCTGGCCTCACTGTCAGTGACCTCGCTAAAAGCCAACGACCTCTACCAACTCGACACCTTCACAAATGGAGGAACCGGAAATTAAGGGGTCGTTTGCTTCAAGGATTTGAAAATGAGATTTTTTCACATAGTGTGAGATTGAAAAACCTAAAGTTTTATTTGGGATTTGGGGCATTTTAAAATTGGAAAAAGCCTTTGTTTATTGAGCTAGAACACATGAATCGACTGGATTGTTTATTGAGCTGAAAATCATTAAGCAGAAGATAGAGCATCTACAGTTAGAGGGTACAAGTAGGAAGTGATTAGAAGTAGGCCATGTTGTTTCCAGCTGAGTGATGAATATTTATCATTAACATGTATTGCCTCTTTTTGTGTTTAATGAATGTGAATGAAAACAACAACCCTTCATGCAACATACAAACTGCTATGTTCTTTTTAGAATGTTATTGTCTCTGTAGCGGTATCTTCTTGTTAGCAATAAGCAGCTTAATGGCATCAAAATGTCTGCAACATACAGACTGCTAAATGATGCAAACATGTCTGCAGAAAGATACATGAAACGTGACATAAGTAGCTTGCATAACTTCATCTATTCAGTTACAGCCAGTTAAACCAACAACCATAATTCTAACCCTTGTAAACTAACACCTGTTGGGATGAAATGAAACTTCTACAAAATGATCATGTTTCCACAACTGAACACTTGCAATTGCTAAATACAGTATGATCTAACCTTGCACAAAAAAACAAAGTTTCACATACATCCCACATGTGTTCTGCAAAATAGACTACCAAGTAAATCCTACACCATCAAGCTCAACAGAGCAAGTTCTTGATGAAGTAGCACCGATCTTTGTCGCTCTTAAGGGCATAGAAAATTCGAGTCTTTGGATCGTTGTCCACAAAGCCACAGCAGCATCAATGACTTTGTCACAAGTGAGCCCTTCAATTTTTCCGATCTCCTTGATCAAAGTAGCCTGCTTGCTGTTGTCACCTTCGCGATCACTTATTATCGAGCCAAGTGCTTCCAAAGCCTTGAAGATCATTGGTTTAAGCTCACCAAGTTGGGATGATACATTAGTGATAGCTTCATCAGTGTCAATTTCAATCTTTTTTGCCTTCTTCTTAGCAGGTTTGTTGCTGCCACCTGCATTCTTTGGTCGAGTAGGCTGATTCTTAGTAACATGACCTTCTACTGCTTCAGCCGGAGGTACAAAGGTAGAATGTTGCTGCTCAATCCCTCATTGATTATGTCCTCATGATCTCTGTGGTCCTTTGGAAATCCAAGTCAATTGGTGAGTCAAAACCATCCAAGTCCATGATAGATTTAGGGGATGGTGGACCAATAGATATGCCTCCTGTAACTCGCCCAACTGGTGTCCTACCCTTCCCAAAGACCTCAAGTAGCTCATGGTAGAAGGGAAAAGGCTTCTTGTTTAGGTTCTTTATGTTTGGATGCACCTATGGAATAACATACAATCATATCAGTAAGTTAGAATAACAAAAGACAACATCCTGCTCTGAGTAAGTACACCAATTCGTTGTTGCATACCTTGAAAAGGTCTTAAAACACATCATCATCGATAATTGGTGTGCATCTGGTTTCATCCCATCCTTGGCCACTCTTTGAACAAAGCAAGTGTACTACCATAAAGTCCCTTTCTAGCTTCTTGTGCTGGATCTTATGTTTGGTTCCACCGTCACACCACAACTAGGGGCTTTCTAATGCATCAGGTTCTCAAACTCAGTAAAATATCCATTTTTGAAGTTGTCATTCTCCACTTGGTGCTTCTTAACCAGCTCTTACATACACTTGTATAAGAACACCATCCAATTACTCAGTCCAAGAAAATAAGGTCCCTTGGGTTGTGCTTCTTGGCAACCTTCTCCTTCCACAGCAATCACCTTTCTCTTCCTCGACATCCTATAATATAATTAGAACAACTAGCATCCAATTATATCTTCTAACATGAGCAAAGAAGAGTACTAATATAAAAGAACGACAAAGCTTCATAAATTAAATAAGAGAGAGACACATTAAGCTTCATACAACATCAAAGCTTAATAAAGAAAGATCATTCGATACAATTTTTTCTCTCTAACATTCCAGAGATAGGCATAACCATCGGAATTATTCCAAACATAAAACAAACTTATAAAAAATGTCCGATTCAACAACAACCTAATACAACAGTTTATCCTCTACGATTCCTATACAGCCACATATCCTTCCCATCTCATCCCTAAAATGGGTCCATTCATTTGAAGGCTGAACCATAGTTATAACATCATCAATGTGCTCTACATCGAATTTTGGATATTGCTCAGATTCAACAACAATCCCTCTCGAATGTGTCGACACCTCCCTCTTTCTTGATGAAATTATGCAGTAGATAACAAGAATTAATTATATGGGCTATGACCTTAGGGGAGAACCAACTTGAATCTCTTAGGATGCCCCATCTCATTTTATTTATTCCAAATGATCACTCAATAGAGTTCCTTGCCCCGACATGATTTATGTTGAAGTATTCTTCAGCTACTGCTGGCCTTAAAGCTCCCCCCCCCCCCTCTTTAAGATGATACCTTTGCCCCCGGTATGGTGTTAGGAAGCCATCACAATTGCTATACCCTTTATCCATTTGGCCTTAATAAAGCATCCCTAAGAACCTTCCCATCTTGAGCTAAACCTTCCCAACCAGCGAAGCAATATAGGAACTCAACATTCTGATTAACCACTCCCAACACATTCATTGAAATTGTCGCCTTGGGGTCTCGATACCTAGGTTGGCCTTCATTCCTTACACAATCCTTAATATGTGTTCTGTCTAGTGCCCCTAAGCAACCCTAAACAAAACAGTTTCCTTAATCTAATGTTAATTATAAGTTGTCAATACAGAGAATAAAGAATAGTTGATTTCACCTTAAAGTACTTCCACTTCACATAATCCAAGTTTTCCTCTATAGGTTCAGGCTTCGAAAGTAAGGTGTGATGGAGTCAAAGATCGCCACAAAGGACCTTGTGAAGTAGTTTGGAAATAGTTTGGCCTGATCGACAAAAATCCAATTGCAATATCATGTTCTTTGTGTTGTGGCCAATTGTGACCAAGAAGATCATCATCATCTCATCTATATTTACGTTGTCGATACCTTTCAACCCCCCATCACTAACAAGGAGGTCACACAATTTCCGAAACAAGGCTCGATTCATCCAAACCTTATTAATACAATGAGTATCGGACAATCCTATTGTGCGCCTGATATAAAGTCCTCGATCGTGTTCACAATTAAATATGCTATCTATAGCGGTGTTAGGAGCTCTTCTTGTCTCAAGCTTTTTCCTCACTAACAACTCTAACAATTCAAGCAACAGGGAAAAATAAGCAAGTAACAGCCCTAATTGTTGTCGCAGTTTCTCGATTGTGTGCATTAGGCACTCTGGTCAATCTAGCCATGTCCTCTTTACATAACAAAAAATGAAAAAAAAAAGCTAAGTACAATATTGAATTGCTCAATCAAGTCAGCACCATCCAAGAAGAAAATCATAACACTAGAGCGGTAGAAATTAACCAAAGGCCTAAACTATCTTAATCTATTGAACCTCATGATAGTGATATATTTTAGGATACCAGATATGGATGATGACAATGATATATTTTAGGGTTCATTGATGAAGATGGATTTTGCAAGCATTTGGCTCCATAATAGTTGAGCATAATCAGTTGGACTTTGGAAGAGCGAGAGAGTCGTGCTTACCTCGGTATTAGTTTTGTCATTCGAGGTTGATGCCCGGATGAACTCCGATGGATGAACTCCTCTATCGATGGATTCTGCAATTTTTCAGATCGCCAACTCAAGAACTCTTCGCTCGCAACTTCTCTGTTTGTAAGGAATGGGTAGTGGGGAATAAAAATGACATAGGCTTGAGGGATAGAAAGGGAAATTTTGGTTTAATGAAAAATAATGAGGATATGAGTGTCATGTTGTCTCTTGGTTTTTCATCAGCTTGCCAAATCCCTAATAAGCATGTTGGATTTATAAATCTGTGGTGCCCACGGATTTGGGGCAAAATAAAAACCAAATCTGTGGCCTCCACGGATTTGTCTCAACATATTTGGATCAAGCAAACAACGGATTGTACCTAAATCCTTGATAGATGGTTTTTTGGTACCAAATCCATGATGAAAATCCTTGAATCAAACAATCCCTAAGTTCCCACCGAATCAAAAGTCGTCAGCCATCAAAACCCACCATCGATTGCAGAACCCACCAACCCCCTAC